TTTCGTTCATGATTGTAACTCGTAGATCCTTCACTTGACTGCTTTATTTACTCAGATATTCTTTGGGAAAAATGCAAGACATTGTGGATACTTTCATTTGGGTCTATGTTTTGCTTACTTGCCTCAAAACATGATTTTTTTCCCCAAGTTACTTAGCTGTATGGACCCAGAAAGGGCAAGCAAACCATAATAAAATTCTGCAGTACCAGCTTGAATCATGTACTTTGCCAGTCTAAATTGATTTTAACACTGTTGGCTGTTCCCACTGTTTATGCGTAACTTATCTTGAAGGAATGCAAAACCCTTTATAGGTTAAAGAATCAGAGTGATGATAATGATTTGCATTGACAGTATGCAAAGAAATTAGTGGCAAGACCCATATTTGAATATAGATGTATTTTTTCCTCCCCCCAAAATGTATCACTTGTTTTTTAAAGATGTCTTGGCTCTGTTCCTCTCCCCAGTTGGAACTTTTTTCCTTTGTTTCCATTTTCTCGCTCTGCTCAATTTTGATTTCACTTCCAACAGTTTTTCCTCAATATGGAGCCTGTCCTGGAATAGAGATTTGACTGGTTGCTTTTGAAAATTCATGTGGCCCAAGCTGTTCTAGCTCCTTTTGGAACTTCTCAAGGACCCTTTGCACTCATATGCTCTTGGACTAGGCAAAAACACTTACATTTTTACCTTCTGTATTCAGTGGGCCTGCCTGGTTCCAATGAATGCCTTTTGGATTTTCCTGTTGATTCCCTCTTCTTACTCCCTCACGGACCCTGGTACCATATGTGTCTGGTGGTGTGGTTTATCCGTACCTGCTCATGTTTCGGCATTCAAGAGGAGGATAATTTTTCACTTAACTTTGTTGAAATTGTTTTCTATGTATTTTCTTTCTGCAGCTTACCTGCCATAGATAGGTAGGTAGGTAGATAGATAGATAGATACTGAGTTTGTTTTTTAATGTGGAAACTCAGGGATATTAAAATACTATGCTACCACTGGCACTGTCCACCTAGAACTCGGCCTCATAGGTTATATTTCTTAATTTCCAAATAGTTAACTTGTTTTGATTATATCCAAAATTATAGCTTTAATTTTGATTTTAATCTGATAATATAGTACATAAAGTCACTACCATTTGGAATTTTTAAGTAGTTTCTCTGCATAATGTACACTGTCTACTTTTCTACATGCTCTGTGGATTTAACAAAAGATTTGTTTTCCTATTTTATATGCTCCTGATTCTTTCTGCTCTGTTTTTAACAGACCTTTCTGGAAGTTCAGTCTGTAGTTGCTGTCTGTACTGCCTCACATTACATACTCGTCTTATGTTCTCTGTTTAGATTAACATTCCCACCCCTTCATTGAAAGTGCATTTGTTTGTTACCCACGAAGTCGATGTTGTCAAATGTAATGGTCATAGTCCCATCCTCATCTTACTCAACCAACAAAACTAGCCACTACTTTCCTCTTGCAAGATTCCTTTCCCTTGGCATCCTTGACACAATACTCTCCTGGTTTCCTCCTACTTAATTGTTCACTTTTTTGTTGTTGTTGTTAGCTCTAATAATGCGGTGGCCCTGAACATCCTCTTAGAAGTTTTAAATGAGTCATATCCAATCTTCACCAAGCCTTCTCACTTTTCACTCTAAATTATGTGCCCATCAACTTGGTTTTGCCTCCATGGCTACTACTCTTGTGCAAGCTACTATCACGTCATAACTAGGAAAATCGAATGTCCCTGCTTTCCTCTATCATCTCTTTCCCACCCAGCAGCCAGAATGATATTTTTCTTGAGAGTTAGATCATGTCATTTCATGGCTCAGGCCTTATAACATGTCCCAAACTTTTTATCATGCCAAGGACCTAGGTGAATTAACCCCCGCTTGTCACTCTGAACTTATTTTTAACTTCTCTGCCCCTAGATCACAGTACTCCAGCTCTTGTGACTTCAGTTTCTCAAACAGCTCTAGCCTAAGTGTACTATTCCCTAAGCCTGGAATCCTCTACTGACAGATCTTTGTGTGGCTTTACCACTCTTATTATTTGTATGTCCAGCTCGTATATCATGTCTTCAGTGAGGCTGCCCCTAACTGCCTAATCTCAACTAGCTACATATCCTTCCACTGCATCACATCACTTTGTTTTTCTTCAGAACACTTACCATTGTCGAAAATTATGATAATCCACTTATGAGTCTACCTGGTTATTTTTTGCCTCCTGCTATTGGGATGCAAACTCCAAGAGACCAGGGACTTTGTCCTATTTACAAGGTTGTCACCAGCTCCTAGAACAGAGCTTGCTTAAGCAATATTTCTTTGAATATTTCTTCATGATTTGAATGACTGAATAAATTAATTTTTGTCTGCTTTATCAGATAGGTTATTAAAGAGATATACATATTAAAATTTATTCTGTAATTATGTTATCTAATTCTCCTTATAAGTCCAGACATTGTGTTTTCACTTATTTGGCCTGTGTTTTTGGTGCATATAGGTTTATTATTTTTATTCATTTTTTGTGCCTTATACATTTTATTTGACCAGATTTTGATTTTGAATTTCACTTTGCTATTGATATTATCCTTCATGCCTTCATTGTTGTTGTTTCTAAGAGCCAATTTTTTTTTTCCACAATACTTTATATTTTGGATATAAGTGTGTCACTGCTATAGATGTGCTTTCTATAAAAAACATAAAGCTAAATTATGCTTTTTAATGTGCTATGGAAATCTCTCTCTTTTGATGAGGATTCAGACTGTTCACATTTAGTGCAATTGCTTCTATATACTTTATCTTATTCCTTTATTTTTTAATTTATTTTATGTTATATGTATTATTTTTTTTTTCTTTTCTCTTTTCCATACATTTGCTAATTTATTCAAGCCTTTATTGAAGTCCTTTTTCTTCTTTTTCATTTAGATATTTCTCAACACGGTCTAAGGTTACCTTCCTATTCCAATTTATCTTAAACCAATTTCATTAACTATGATTTCAAAATAATTATCCTTTTGAAGATTATCCAGTTCTCAATTGCTGTGTTCAGAATCATCTTTCCATGGATTTAAGTTACTGTTGACAATATTGTTTGATATGCTCTGTTTCTAAGATACTCTCATGGACAGTACCTGGAGAGAAAACTCATCTGTATCTTTTCCATTTTAAAAGATGTTTTTTCTTAAATCTTTTAAAACATTTTCACCTAGAACCAATCTCCTACAGCAATTGTCTTTCCTCATTGTCTGTATAAATGCTCTGTAATTATTCAAATGCTTAGAAGCTTTTTGGAAATGAATGTTATTATATTTAAGCTTTCATGTATATACCAAAAATTTAACCATTTTCTCGACTGGCTGTAATTCTTTATTTTATGTAAGAAACAATATTTCTTATTTTAGAATGCCATTTCAATTCCTTGCCCTGAAAGCTGGGACAATTGTGAGACTCATTTCCTTTCTTTTCCTTCACTCATGAATTATATCCTCCTCTGTGTTTTGTCTAATGTCTGAATATGGTTTTTCCATACATTTTGTATAGTTTTCTAGTTCTGTAAGACGAGAGAGAAATCTCGTCCTTGTTAGTCCATTTTCACTGGAAGTGGAAAGTGTATTACATGTTTTTGAAAATTTTTCATAGAAGATTATTAAAGGAGAAGATTTCAAGAACTTAATTGTTGAGCTTCAGCTATCTGGGAAAATTCACTTATGTTGACCAGCTCCTTTATACATGATGTAAAAGTATAATATTTACTGTATTATACTATATACCAGATATTATGGCAATAATTTTATTTCTATTAATTGAGTTAGTCTTTTCTCTAACACATGAGGTAGATGCTCTTATTATTGCCATTCACATATGGGACAAAAATAGGTTAAATAGTTTTCTAAAATATTTACATCTAGCAAGTGAAAAAGTTGGATTTTCTCTATTTCTGTATCTAAATAGATATTCTCTATTCAGATGCTACATTATTGACTAGTACACTATATAATACTTCCTCAAGAAACGTGTTACAGTATGATCTCTATAATGTTAACAAAAGTGGAGAACAATTTTAGCTTATTGATTTATTTCTCCTCTCAAAATTCATTAACATGAAAATATAAACTGAGGTGATGTATTTTATTCTTGCAGGGGTTTATAACAAAATAGTTGTATGCAGCTTCCCTAGACAAGAATATACAAGAAAAACTATTTCCCTCAGTTTCCTTAATACAGTTGAAATTAAGTTTTTCAGCACACAAGCAATTATCAATTGTATTGATAGAAAAATGTGATAATTATTAGATGAAGAAACTCATCTGCATGTTTTAGGCACATTTAATATGGCGTAGGATTTCACGTGAAAGTCTTAGCATGCATTACTGAAGTAATTTTATAATAGTTTTCTTTTTTTTCACATCTTTATTGGAGCATAATTGCTTTACAATGTTGTGTTAGTTTCTGCTGTACAACGAAGTGAATCAGCTATATGTATACCTATATCCCCGTATCCCCTCCCTTTTGAGCCTCCCTCCCACCCTCCTTATCCCACCCCTCTAGGTCATCCAGAGCATGGAGTTGATCTCCCTGTGCTATGCAGCAGCTTCCCACTAGCCATCCACTTTACATTTGGTAGTGTATACATGTCAGTGCTACTCTCTCACTTCATCCCAGGTTCCCTCCCCGCCCCCCCCCACCCGTGTCCTCAAGTCTGTTCTCTACGTCTGCGTCTTTATTCCTGCCCTGCCACTAGGTTCATCAGTACCATTTTTTTTAGATTCCATATATAATAGTTTTCTTAAGCCATTTAATGTTATAGCCTGTGCAAAGGTCATCAGCAGTTGGTTATATTAGGCGTTCTCAATGAAATTTTGATTCCAGCACATATGATTTATAATATGGTGATCCAAATTTCTTGATGATTTAAAAATATTGTATTTACAAATGCCATGATACATCACCACTTTGAAGAAGAGCATAGATTCAGTAAGTTTCAAACTTTCTTTTATTTTGATTTTTCAGATTGCATTCTCACAACACAATACAATCATGGATCTTGTGCAGTTTTTTGTCACCTTCTTCAGGTAATTTGCTTTTACTGACTTTGAATTTGTTAAACCTATGTTCTGATGTATGTTCTATCAATCTGTTAGGTAATTTATCAGTTCTTTAACCTTAAATATGATACAGTGTGTCTTGAATAGTTTTATATACTTAAATATATACCACAGAGCAGAAGAAACATACTTGACATATACTTTTGCAAGTTTATTTTGCTGTAGTACTATTTAATAGCTAATTGATTCAGTGGAAAGAGGATGATAACCCTGTGTTCCCCTGTCATATAAGTAATTAAAGCCTGTTTTAATTAATAAAATTAACAGTGCATTCACTGTATTGATTAGGTCCATCTCCTAGCATTGAAATCCATATCAATTCAATTATTTCTTGGATTTCTTAGGTAATTATTATATGTGCTTAGCAATGTGATGAAATCTGTAGGGCATGAGAAGAAGTATGTATTTTCTGCCCTCAGAGAGCTTATAATCTAGAAGTACTAAATATGACTTAGGATATAGCATAGTTTCCTGGAATGTTAGTTATTTGAGATATTAACAGTAGGTTCATTAAAAAGTGTTACATAATTAAATACATTTGGAAAATGCTGTGTATACTGAAGTTAAATAGGGCTTTTTTGGTTTGTTTTTAACTGACATTACTTCTCAGAGTTTTTTTTTTTTCTCACAGTTTTTAATATGTTAATTTGCAGTGTATCTTTCTAAAAGAGAGGACGGAGTTTGTAGCATTTCTCAAAACCTAAAAGCTCTCTTCGTAGAACATCTATTTTCATTTCCATGGGATGTAAATAAAGAAACACTGGGCGAGGAGAAGCAGCTGAGTTTTAGTGGTAGAATATCTGTGTGATGGCACCTGAGATCATCTGGATTAGAAAGAATGTTATTTTTGTTAACATGATTATGATGTGTACCGCTTATACTGGTCCACTAGGTGCCTTTGTGTAAATTAGACAATTGTGCCTCCTTCTGGCAGGCATAGCCCCACATCACAGCACACAACTTTACAAACAGTGCATGTAATTTTGACCTTCACTCACCAAGTTGTCCGGGCTGCGCTGAACAGCAAAGAACCTGTTAAACCAAGTCCTTGACACAGATGATATGCCAAGCACTTTCCTCAAGACCAAAGTAACCATTATTGGTTATCTTATAACGACACCATACAATCCTAATACCTTATCCACAGAAGTTAGCAAACATTTTCTGTAAAGAGCCAGTTAGTAAATATTTCAAGATTTGTGGGCTATAAGGTCTCTGTTGCATCTAAACAACTCTGCTGTTGTGGTGCTAAAGCAGCCTCAGCCAGTATGGAAACAAATCGGAGTGGCTATGTTCCAATAAACCTTTATTATAAAAACAGCTGCTAGGCTGAATTCTGCCTGTGGACATAATTTGCCCAACCCCTGATCTAACTTATGCCTGAATACCTTTAATGACAGGAAACACACCATCTCTTGAGATACCATTTTCTATCTTCAGATAACTAATTGTTCTTTATAATTGAGATGAAACCTGCCTCCCTGTAATAGCTCTTCTCATTTACCCATATGGGCTCATACATAGCAAGTCTAATCTCTCTCATCTCCATTTGCAGCCCTCTGGTTTTCTAAACTCTTTTCTCCAATTTACACATTCTCTGTTCGTTTATTCACTTCTTGTTGTCAAAATCCTTGCCATGTTGGTCACTTTGCTCTGAAAACAATCATGTTTGTATTTGTCCCTTAAAAAGTATTAATTTCCAGAATTTAACGCTAAATCATATTTATCACTAACATGTGCAAAGTCTATTCATACTTTAAATTTGTCCCTTAAAAATGAAATTTGAGGAAACAACTTTTTTTAAAATTAATTTTTTTGGCTGTGTTGGGTCTTCGTTGCTGCGCACGGGCTTTCTCTCTAGTTGCAGCAGGCAGGAACTACTCTTCGCTGTGGTGTGCGGGCTGCTCATTGCGGTGGCTTCTTTTGTTGTGGAGCACAGGCTCTAGGTGCGCGGGCTTCAGTAGTTGTGGCACGTGGGCTCAGTAGTTGTGGCTCGCGGGCTCTAGCGCACAGGCTCAGTAGTTGTGGTGCATGGGCTTAGTTGCTCTGCGGCATGTGGGATCCTCTTGGACCAGGGCTCGAACCCGTGTTCCCTGCATTGGCAGGCAGATTCTTAACCACTGCGCCACCAGGGAAGTTCCGAGGAAACATCTTAAATATATTTAACGTTCTCTGATTTCGTACTTCTGAATATTAAGGGATATTAAGCCTATTAATTAGGTTACAATGTTTTTGGAAAAGTATTAGAAGTTGTAAATGAATGAGCCTTATTTAATGCATAAAAATAAAAGTTTTTGACGGAATAATGTGGATGTTAATATGCTAAAAAGTTTACTTTTGTGTAAAAATTCACAAAGCTGAATATATATGTAAATTATTTAAATGTTTAGGGTTTTATTTTAAGCTTTTGAATTTGTGTGCATGTTTAAGTTCAATAACTCTTTTATTAAGTAAAAGAAAGCTAGTGTTAATGTGTACCATGTCTTAGAGATGATCCTATTTATTATATTGTCATCATGGACAAAGTAATATAAAATATTCTAAGCATCACGTGAGATAAAGTATAGTTAATGGGTTTTTTATCATTTAAATTTTTCTCAGTATTAAAATGTAAATTAGACAGTTTTCTAATTGTCTCCTTGTTAAGAAAAGAAAATGCACAAATACTTTTAAGTTTATTATTTTTTTAAATAAAGCCACTGTTAAATTTTAAAAGAGAGTTTTAGACTGGTCAGCATTTATGGACATCCTTCAATCAGGCCGCTATTACTGCTATTGCTGTCTCTGAGTTATTGAAGTAGCATAGGTGAATGTGTCAGCCTTTCAGTTTAGCCATGGTTTGATGGAGGCCAGTTCATAAACTTTGTGTCAGTTTTTTACTTTTATATTGGGCATAGTTCTGGTGGTAAACATAATTGAGTCAGTACTAGGAAGATCACTTATAGGCATGGCCTGGCTCTGCTCTTAGCTTTCTGTGCCATCTTAAGTAGGTCACCTAGCATCTTTAAATCTCAGTCTTTTCATATCTAGAATTAAAGGATGTTGTTTTTAGAGTGTGTACTATAATATAGTGAATGATGAGAAAACTGAAAGGAATTATTTTAAAAATAAATACTTGTTTCTGGTATGTAAAATGGAAAAGTAAGTCTGTGTGAATCTGAATTTTAAAAGAATAAGCCTGGTAAATTAAATGGAGATATATCAGGGACCACTGCCCCTATACCATTTAGATTTTTAATGGTGGTTCTAATTTTCACTGTCCCACTGGAATTACATAATGTTTTTGATTTACCATCTTGACCAGATGGCAGGTATTTTCAGAGGTTGCCACTTGATCTTTCCCACTATGATAGATCTTACCCCACAGGCCAGGGATGCAATGTAGGGGTTACTCTAATCACCTTGTACATAAATTCTAATTATACACTTGAGAAGTAGAGAACTTATCACTGGGTGGATGCATAGACACAGTTGGCCCACTATGATCCAGAATTTAGCCAGAATTTCTTACCTGGACCCTGGAGATACCCCAAGTCTAACAAGGGTTCATGATGGTATTTTAGTCCTTGGGTATCTCTGTGATCTCTAACCCTGTGTCTTATAGTAATCAAAATATCTATTTACTCCTCTTGCACTGTGTACATACCCGTGTATATACCTGTGTATATACCCAAATATACACAGGGCTCTTTGTAAAGGATCATACACAGGTCCCTTTGGGGATCATTTTATACACTTTCCAAGATGTTTCAAAATGTCTTTTCTTCTATGGACTCAGCCACCTATTCAGTGGGTTCTGGATTTGTAAATTAACTCATCTGGGAGCTGAGCAGAGGATCATGATTTTCTCTTGGCAACAACCCTCAGCCTTTGTTCCTCCATTCCTACTTACAACAAAAGTAAATGTTAAATAGCACCGTTGTTGGCTGCCCATCTATTTTGCCTCTCGAGATAGATACCATCCATTATTAATCATCCCACAGCTCGTTGTGGGCCAACACCCTTGTCTGCTCCTCCAGTCTTGTTGAACTTTATCCTCATTGTAGACCCTGGATTCTGTCAGTTAGGCACTGACCCTTGATCTTTTTTCCTTTGGGGCCCCATCACTTAACACCTCCCTTTGTCACTGCCTCTCCTGTTGTCAGCTCTGGTCTGCAGAAGAAAGCCACCAGTGAACTTCTTAGTGAAGCTGGTGCCCCTTTCAGTAGCAAATTTCTCATGGCCTTGGTGACTGGTACGTCCCATAGAAAGTAATCTACCGGCCTTACATAATATATCAATTCCGGTACATTCCCTCCTGTCAGCTTTTTTATTCTTTTCTCTTTCATCTTCTGGGGCAACTCAGGCATTTGCATTTCACTTTGCCTTGGCCAGTGCTTTTTCCAGGCTTATAAGAATCACTTCCTCATCAAGTTTTGCCCCATCCCCTGGAGTCCTCCATAGGGTATTATATCACCTGGTCCTGAGACTCTGCACCAAAATTCATGAATTCTTGTTTATCCGGGCTTACATTCCATCCCCCCTTGATCAAATACCACCAAATTCCAATTCCTGACATGATCTCCTGGCTGCTGCCAGTACATGCTAGCCAATTCTTGCAGCTTTTTCAAGTATATAATCTTTTCCCTTTCTTTTCAGGCCAAGATGCATTATTCTGTCATTAAATTCAGTTATTAGTCTAGCAATCAGGAGAGGAGGTGGTGGCAGCCTTTACGGGGGGTGACCCTATTGTCTATTACTAGAAACGGGAGTTATAGAACCAACATCCTCAGAAACGTCTATCTAGATAGTCCATTCTAGGTATTCCTATCCCATATTTCAAGAGCTCCAGTTTTCCAACAGTGGCCGTTGTCTTTGCATAAGATGACTGCTTTGGCTGAGCAGTCTATCATCTCTGGAGCTCTGCAGTTCTAACAGTTAGATCATCAGTCTGCTGCTCATTCATATTGGCTCCTCCACTGTCAAGA